TGCAGGCCTTGCACGCCTATAAGCGCCTGTTTCAGACAGGCGGCGCCGAGCCGATCGACGAAGCCTCGTGGTTGCATCCTTACGTGGCCGCCGTCGAGCCCGAGGCTATCCCCGCGGGCGCTGACCTCCAAGCCATGGGGGCGGGCGCCATCCGTGGCATCGGGCTCGGCTCAAAGATCGAGCACAGGAGGCGCGCGGGCAAGTTGGCCTGCCTTTTCGACCTTCTGTACCACGTGCAGGACGGTCACGGCGCCATCCCAGCAGCGCTGTGGGGATCTCATTCCCCTCCGTCCGAGATCCTCGACGCGTTCGCGGAGGTGGTGCCCGTTCCACATCATTCGGGCCTCACGTCCTCGGCAGCTCGTTCCGAGCTCGCCGAATCGGCCGCAGCTGCGCGCGCCGAGCCGCGCCCGCCCTTTGACTGGGCGACCCTCGAGGGAGGGGGCGCTCTGCCCGCCGAGATCGAAGCAGGGGCTCGCCGTGCTCACCGTAACATGGGCGGATCCTTCACCTCGGCGCGGGCGATGCTGGCGGAGGCGTCGGGGTTCGAGACCGACGGGCGGGACGCCCTCGTTCCGCCCTTCTACGCGTCCAGGAGCAGGAGGGCCGCCACGCTGATCAGCTCTCCCAGCCCTGGCCGCCCTGCGCTCATCCTGTGGTGCGTCTGCGGCCTCTGCATCTCTCTGGGAGCCGCGGCGCCGACCGCAGGCCAAGGGCTTAGTCGGGCTGCGCCTTCCGCGCCCGCTCGCCCTCCGCGCACTCCCTTCGTGCGCGATTCTCACCTCACCTCCGCGTATCTCGATCGTCGCTCGAGATCGATTGATGCGTTCGAACTGTGGTTAGCAGAACACACTGGCGTGCCGCCCGCCACTCTTTACCGTAGCGGGATACTTCTCGCCCGCTTCCTCGCGACCTTCGGCGTGTGGCTTCATGATGCAGGTTTCCCTCATTATATTCTGGTTCATGCCATCTTGGGAATCCAGAGCGCTCATCCGCATTGGAAGGCCTTTCTAACAGAAGCTTGGGACGTAGCGAAACAATGGAAGCTCGCGGAGCCGCCAAAGCTCCGCCCGCCCTTACCTCGCGCTCTGCTGCGCGCTATGGTCGGTCTCTGTTTCGCCTGGGACTGGCCTGTGATGGCGGCCTTGCTGCTCATGGGCTTTACGATGTTCCTCAGGCCTGGCGAGCTGCTGGCGTCACGCCGCTGTGACTTGTCGCTTCCTTGCGACCGCCTCGAAGTTGAAGGGGGTGCTTTTCTTTCGATTCTTGTTCCAAAGACCAGGAGAACGTACCCGACGCAGCATGCTCGCTGCTCCGATCGGGGCACGGTGAAGATTCTGAATCAAGTGTTTGGGCGGTTGGCTTCCACCGATCCTCTCGCCCCTTTCGGTGCGAGCGGCTTCCGTACTCGGTGGAATCATTTGCTTTCGGCCCTGGGCGTCCCTCTTGCCAAAGCGGGTCAGGGGCTCAACCTGACGCCCGCATGTCTGCGGGGCTCTGGCGCAACAGACTTCTATATCGCTACGGAAGACGTCCCTCGCGTCTTCTGGCGGGGGCGTTGGCGTCAGGCTTCCAGTGCTGAGCGCTACCTGCAAGCCGCCGCCGCTTCCACAGTTCTTGCTGCGCTGCCCGTGCCCGCACGGGCGCGGATCCTGTTCTTCGCCACCGCCAGCGACCGCCTTGTCGCTTCATTTCTCCAAGTCGGCCCCGCCGCTTGGCCTGCCCTACTTGCGGCCGCCCGCCGAAACCTTGTCACTTCGCAAGGTCCTTGAGCACGGGTATGGCTGCCTCGCCGTCGTCGGCGAGCAGGCGGTCTCCCCCGCCTGACGCGCGGCGCCCCGGCACGAGCGCGCGGGACGGGCCTGCCCATTTTGGGCCGCCCCGCGCGCGCGAGCCGCGGCCGCGCTCGGAGACAGCTCGCTAGCGCGCGAGCGGGAGAATGCCTCTTCTATTCTCTGTGAGCAAGCTCCTGCTGTCTCCGCAGCTTCTCTGCCCCCCTCCCTCCTCTCCCAATCTAAGGCTGATGGGCGCTGCCTCGCCGTCGTCGGCGAGCAGGCGGTCTCCCCCGCCTGACGCGCGGCGCCCCGGCACGAGCGCGCGGGGCGGGCCTGCCCATTTTGGGCCGCCCCGCGCGCGCGAGCCGCGGCCGCGCTCGGAGACAGCTCGCTAGCGCGCGAGCGGGAGAATCCTCCTCCTCCTCCTCCTCCTCCTCCTCCATTGAGGAGCCCAGCGCCAAGCGCTCGAGGTCTTCCAGCGGATGGGTGCGCTCTGCCACGAGGGAGGGGCCGTGTGGGGAGGCCAGCTGGAGGGGGGGGGAGTGGTCCGTTGGCAGCGGGCCGCTCGGCAGGAGGCGCGGCGCCCGGCGGCTCCGCATGTGTCTCTTGCTTTTCCGGGGCACGTGACCTGACGCATTGCGACAGGAAACCTCCTGCTCCTGCTCCTCCTCCTCCTCCTCCTCCTCCTCCTCCTCCTCCTCCTCCTCCTCCCCCTCCTCCTCCTCCTCCCCCTCCTGCTCCTCCTCCTCCCCCCCCCCTCCTCCTCCTCCTCCTCCTCCTCCTCCTCCTGCTCCTCCTCCTCCTCCTGCTCCTCCTCCTTCCCCTCCTCCTCCTCAGAGAGCTCTGGGGCCCCCAAACGGTGCGGTGACCACACCGTGTGGTGAGTCGGTGGGGGTTTGGGGTCACTGCACGGTTTTGGGGCTTGGGTCGTTTTCCGAGGACGTCTCGGGCGGTCGGGGCCTCCGGGGTCCCAACACCGTGTGGTGACGGACCATGCGGTGAGGTCTTTGCGGATTTCGAGGTCGCCGCCGGGTCTGTCGCCACACGGTGTTGGGACATCCAATTATTTGATTGCGACGAGTGTCTGTTGGCAGTGGCTCTTCCGTTCTCTCATCAGGGCGTCTGGCAACAGCGTCTCGCCACGTCGACGCCCAGCAACGAGAACGAGACGGCACTCCTATTGTAGAGTGTCCAGTGGCCGGTAGTATTGCTCTCTTACCTGGAGGCAGGGCTGCTCACATCTTGCACCTTTTTTGTAATCTCTCGGGGGTGGACAGAACCCCCAACAGTGACACGTCGATTAGTGAATTGTCCGTTTTCGGTTCTCGAGAGGGCGCCGCGGCCGTTATTTTCCAGGCTTGCGCCCGCCAGGTTTGGGCCTCAGGTCGTTTTCACTAAACCACGTTTTATTAAAGGGAGGTCTGTCCATCCCCGAATCTCACACCTCCCCCAGGAGGCCTCTGGGAGACTTCAGCGTCCCCTCAGGCATGGCCTCGGCGCGGTTCTGCCGTCCCGCCTCCTGAGGCGCCCGTGCGCCATGCCTGCGCCTCATAGGATCTGGTCATCGGTATGAGGCTTGTCAGGAGGGAAAGAGACACACAGACACAATTAATCGTCGACTCCCAGGAGAATATGGGAAATAGGAGAATCTGGAAAAATGGGGAATCATTTTATTTGTGTGTATTTGTTTGTGTGTCCTTGGGCCCCTTCAATGAGGCTTGCTTGGTCGGGGGGATCTACGACACTTGGCCTATCGACAGGTAGCGCAGAGCGTGGCGGCGCCGCGCGCGTCTTTCTTTCCCGAGGCAGATGTCCAGCTGCACTGCGGCAGGAGATCTCCATCCTCGCCTGCTTGCGCTTTTGGTCAGATCCCTCCTCCCCCCAATCGCGGCTCCTCCCTTGCTTGGGTGCAGAGTTGTGAGTTATCAATTCGCCGCTGCGATGCTTACCAGCGAGACTGGGGCGGCTCCCACGGCACAGTTTGGCATGCCGCCATTTGTTCTCGGCACGATCGGGCCCTCCTTTGTGTTGTTGTGCTTTCTTCTTCTCCTTCTCTCCCAGAAGGCGCTCACAGGATGCGCAATGTCACACCTCCCCCAAGAGTTCTCTGGGACCCTCCTCCTCCTCCTCCTCCTCCTTCTCCTCCTCTTACTCCTCCTCGCAGCGGCGTGCCCCCAAGGCATGGCCTCTGCTTGGCCCCGCCTCCCCACGCGTCCGTGCGCCATGACTTCTTGGTGCAGGCAGGCTCAGGCAGCCAGCGTTGGGCCGTCCTAGCTTTAAAGTCAGGTATGTCCCTCTACATGAGGCATATACAAGGATAGTCAGAACATAATCTGGGGACGATTGTTTGAGTGGTTGTGAGTATAACATATTTGGCTATTTTCTAGTTGTCGTCCAAAATCCGCCTATTGGAGGACACGCCCAGCCTAGTCCTAGCTTTTACGAGTCAGAGCCGTGCTCAACCAGGAGATTGAGATGGTAGCCCAGTGCTTATTCTGCAGCGATCGGTCCTCCATGCTGTGCCCTTGACTGTCTATTTTCTCTCCCTCCTCCCTCGGTGATTGATCTCGGTTGGGTCTCCCCCCTGTCTTGATCTCTCCTTCGCGGCCTGGGCTGCACAGGATTGGCTGGCCCGAGGACCCGTTCCTGAAACTTTTTCGCTGCCTGCCAGAGGGCAGAACGATGCCAGGTGCGGCCGTGTCAACGGGCCGCTGGGAACCGTGTGGCCCGCGCTGCTTTTGGGCGCGTCTCCCTTGCTCTCATAGGCTGACTGGCCTTCTTTGGCCAGCACAGCCTCACATTCCTCTCCAGATCCTCGGCATACGGGCAGCACTCTCCTCCCCCCCCCTCTCAGCTGGAGAGCCCAGCACCGGATGGCGACCAAACAGTGGCCTAGACATCGGCAGCGTCGTCTTGGTGTGGTACTATCCTCGCGTCCTCTGCGCAATGACAGCGTACAACGGGTGCAGCGCCAGGCTGAGTCAAGCAGGTCCTCCTCCCTGGATTCCCCTCGCCCTCACCTCTTCCGTTCCTTCCCTCCTCGTCCGCTCCTCATCCCTCCACCCTTTGGCACCCCCGGTTCTCTCTTTCGGCCGCTCAGCATGCGTGGGGAGCTTTGCGCACTGTCAACTGACGGTGCGCCTCACCTCGTCGTGACTGGACCCGCAGGGGCCACCGAAGAGGAGGTGGAGGAGGCATATGGGGCGCCCGCGCCGCCCCCGAGAGGACCTCCGCAGTGTGCGCGGCACGCGCCTGCTGCTGCTGAAGAACCCCTGGGGCCGCGTGCGCTGGCGCGGCCGCTGGTGCCCCGGCGACAGGTCGTGGCAGGCCCCTCGGGCCGCAGGGGCAGCAGGACGGGCACGGGAAGGATGCGGAGGGAGGGAGGGCGAGGGAGCGGGGCGAAGAGCGAGGGGGGCGAAGAGAGGCCGAGGAGGACCACGATGAAAGGCAGGCGCAGGAGGATTTCAAGAGGGGGGAGGAGGACTAGATTCAACCCACCAGGCATCAACGATGCCGCAACACACCCTCCTGCTCCAAGCTCGTCCCCAGAAGCTCCTGCAGGCCGTCCTTCTCGCTGCAGGCTGCGCCCCCCTGAAAGACCAGCACCCCATGAGTATGCCATTCAGGCGGAAGCCCCCCTTTTTTTGAAAAGACATTGCCTTGTATCAGCGAGCGAAAAACGGTATAGAATATAAACTTTTTCGCTGTCGGGGGCGCTTGTCCCTGGGCGGCTGGAAAGTTTAGGCCCCCACGGTGCCACCGTAAGGGTATAAACTTTCCAGCCGCCCTGGGACGGGAGCCCCCGACAGCGAAAAAGCTTTTTTTTTATACCCTCCTTCGCCCGCTGAAGTCAGGCGGAAGCCCCCTTTTTGGAAAAGACTGCAAACAAACAAAAAGGATTGCAAAAAAAGGATTGCAAAAAGGATTGCAAAAAAAAGGATTGCAAAAAAACAAAGGTTTTTTTTTGCAATCCTTTTTTTTGCAATGCCTTGTACCCCCTCGGACACGTGAGGAATGCGGGATGCTGTGGCCACACGGTTCGGCGGGGGTCGTCCAGCGAGGCGCCCCCTCTGAGAAAAAGGACCGCACTCCCATCTCTGCAACTGCTGCACGGGCTCTCATCACTTCTCGCCACGAGGCTCCTGGAACGCTCCAGCGAGGGCCCCAGTTTGAAGAGGAACCGCCTCCGTCCGCGCAAGTGTCGCGAGCTCTCTCGGCCACGTGCGCGCGGCGCTCAGGCGACATCCCCGGCTCTTCCATCCCCGAATCTGCGGCAGTATTCTGAAGCGGATGCGCTCGGCGCTACGGCGAGAGGCCCCTTTTGAAAGGGAGCCGCCCTCCGTCAGGCGCATGCGCGCGGCGCTGAGGCGACATCTCCATCTCCTCCATCCTTGAATCCGCCACAGTCTTTCAAAGCGGATGTGCGCGGCGCTACGGCCCATTCTGAAAGCGTGCCGCCTCCCTTCCGTGCAGGTGTCGCAAGCTTTACGACGAATCTGCGCGGCGCCACAACGACGTACTTGGTTCCTCCATCCTTCCTTGAGGGTCTATGACTGTAGTCTAAGACGGATGTGCGCGATGCTACGACGATAGGCCCTTTTTGAAAAGGAATCGCCTCCCGTCCGTTAAGTGCCACAATCGTTTAAAGCGAAATTGTGTGGCGCTAAGGCGACATCTGGATTTTGAAAAGGATCCGCCCTCCATCCTCGAACATGTCACAGTCTTTTAAGACGGATGTTCGCGGCGCTGCAGTGAGAGGTCCGTTTTGAGAACGACATGTGCTCATCCGTGTAATTGCTGCAAGCTTTTGAGGATGTGCGCGGCGCAAATGCGAGAGCCCCCTTTTGAAGACACCATCCCTCCAATTCTTTGATCCGCTGCACAGATCTGGCTTCAGGATCACCTTCCGTGGTGGGGAAGTGTGAGGCGACACGCCCGGCGGGCCCTGCCGACGCGCCCGGGGGTGCGACAGGGAGAAGCTATTTGGAAGAAATCCTTGACGCTTCGCGTATCCCCACCAGCCTGCGCGCCATTTTGGCCGCGCCTGGCTTGCTCCTGGGCGACTGACCCTCAGACTCCCTGGGTTGCAGCTTGCACGACCGCCTCAGGTGACTGACCCCTCAGACTCCCTGGGCTTGCACGACCGCCTGGCCTCTCAGACGCCCTGGGTCGCCGGCGCTTCCGCCTGCGGCGGAAAAAAAAGGATCCCCACCAGCCCATCCTACACCAGGCACTCGAACGAAGAGCGCCGATGATCGGCAGCTGTTCTCCTCCCCTCTTCCTCCTTCTCCTCCGCCTTCTCCTCCTCCTCCTCCTCTCCTCCTCCTCCCTCTCCCCCTCCTCCTCCTCCTCCTCCTCCTCCTCCTCCTCCTCCTCCTCCTCCTCCTCCTCCTCCGCCTCTTCCTCCTCCCTGGAGATGGAGGGGGAGCAGGAGGGAGGTTTTCTCGGGCTGGACGTAAGGGGGGGGGAATTTGTGCGAAAGGGGGGGTACGAAATCTGTTGCATGCCGCTGGTTTCGGCCGATACAGAGCCGCCTCTGGCGCCGGGAGGCGCCGGGAAAATCAGCTACGTGAGCTGATTCTCCCCCCACCCCCTTTGCTATCCCCCTCTTTCGCCCGGCCAGATTTCGTCGGTCCTCAGCGGTTTGCAGACCTCGGGATGTTTTCCAGCAGCTGCACCTCGCCGAGCGCGTTCCATGGGTGCCCGACTCATTCTGAGTGGCCGCCAATGACCCGAGTTATTACCCGAAAGCCAGCCAGGCAAAGAGGAAGGCAGGAGGGAACAAAAACACACACACACACACGACACAATTAATCGTCGATTCCCCACAAAATATGGGAGAATATGGCAAGTGGGGGGGGAAGACGAAAACGCAGAAAGTATGGGACAACGTGGGGAGCCCTGTTACTTGTGTCTCTGTATTCCGTGCCCCAGGGCCCCTTTCAGGAAGGCGGATCCGCCAGGCCGGCGCGACCGAGGCTCCCTGAGCGCCAGCGGGCCTCAAAGAGCAGGCCTCGAGGGGCCCCCGCCCGAAGCACACGCATGCTGAAGGCAGGCCTGCACTCTGGCAGGCCTCGGTCCGAGTGTGGCGCGCCGGACCCCTGCGTGGAGGCCGGTCTGGCTTCCGGCGTGCCGCCCCGTCGGAGCTGCTGAGCTGAGGGAGATGCTGGCTGGCCGCCGAGGGCGAGCAGGAGGCGGGAGGAGTCGCAGGGGGAGGAGGAGGAGGAGGAGGAGGAGGAGGAGGAGGAGGAGGAGGAGGGAGGAGGGAGGAGGGAGGAGGAGGAGGAGGAGGAGGAGGAGGAGGAGGAGGAGGAGGAGGAGGAGTCGCAGGGGGAGGAGGAGTCGCAGGGGGAGGAGGAGGGTCCTCCTCCTCCCCTTCCCCCTCGTCCGGTTGACCAGGGCGGCCCTGCAAGAACGGATGCGGCAGCTTCGAAGGAAGACGCAGCCACGCCGGACGAAAAGCGGGCCCGAGGCGTCGTTCACTCGAGCCGAGAGCGAATGGAGCGGAGTGCTGCGCGGTCTGCTGCTGGAGTCACCTGCAGCACGGCCTCGGGCAGCTTCGAAGCTTCGAAGTCTTTTTCGGGTGGCCTTGTCGTGGCCACGGCTGGGCGCAGCCTGGCCAACCAGCTTTGGCGCGTGCTGTCTGGGGGAGCGGAGCTCGCTGGGCCGACCCAGGCGCAGGCCCATGCCTTGAGCGCTGCGGACGATTCACGACGGCAGCCTTCCATCAGCTTTCGGCATCCTGAGCCTCGTCTCAAGTCGGGCCTTTCCCTCTACGGGGGGAAAATTCAAAAGTAGTCAAAAATTTCTCGGGGGATTATTCTTGGAGTATTTTTGAGCCATTTTGGAGGATTTTTCGAGTATTTGGTATTCTTCGTCGAAGATCCCCCTGGGGGGACACGCCCGACTTAAGCCTTGTCTCGGGCTCCTGGGCCATTGCGCCCCACGCGCCCTCGTGCGGGGAGGCGCGGGGCAGCGCGCTCACGACCGGTCGGCGCGAGGGCGCCCCAGCGGAGGGGGCCAGGACGAGGATACATCCTTTCCAGGGCGTTCCCCAGAGCGCTCTTCTCGTCTTCTCCTCGTCCTCCTCGTCCTCCTCCTCCTCCTCCTCCTCCTCCTCCTCCTCTTCCTCCTCCTCCTCCTCCTCGTCCTCCCCTGGCCCTTCTTAGCCGGCAGGGTTTCTCTGATTGAATGCCTGCCAGAGGATTTGCTACATTGCTCTTTCCCGCGTGTGCTCGTTGCTTTGCGCGCCGGAAGAATTGTTAATCACGTTTTCCGACATGCTCGGCGCAAGGTCTGCCGTCCAGGGGACCGCTCCTGCTACCGGAGCCGGCACGCAGACTTCCATTCCATTCCCAAAAGCGCTCTCAGAGCGCTCCAGGAATCTCCAGAGCCGCCGGATCTCACAGATTCTCGCTGTGTCCTCACTCGATTTTTTCGAGTTGTGGATCGACTGCAGAATTGGTTTACCCCAAAATTGAGGTGTTCGTCGAATCTTCGAAAGAAACGTAGACTGTCCCGTAGACCTACCAGCATTATACGTCTGTTCCGTCACCTCGGCGAGAACATCCGTTCTGGGGCAGATCGATGATGTGACCGAGCCGCTAGTCGAATGTTGTCCTCGTCCTAGCTTCTTCTCAGCCCATGTGGGCTGCACTTGGCAGCGCGCAGAGGAGAGGGGAAGGCTTCTTAGAAGGAGGCTGCTTGCTTCTAAGAAGCCTTCCCCCCTCCCCCTACCTTCCTCTGCGCGCCGCCGATACGCCCCGTGGAGCACCTGGGCGGACGAGGGCGCGCCAGGCTGTCGGCGACCTCGGTCTGCCGCGGCGGCTCGGCGCGTCGGCGCAGCGCCGCCCCGAAAAAGATGCCGAAACGGGGCCCGACCACAAGAAGCCTTCCATGAGAGACCCAACCCCGAGACCCCAGGGCGTCCATTGATTTTTCTGGTGTGAACGTCACGCGGTTCCATGGCAAGACCATCGAAACCCGAGAAAGCCAGGGCCCCCTGGAGGCGAGCAGGGTGTCTCTTGGCATGCGCATTGTAGCACAGGCGGGAGAGACGGGTGGTGCAGCAAGGAGCCGTGCTAGCAGCACGCATTCACTGTAATTGCACGCGTGGAGTCCAGGAGAAAGTCCTTGGGTGTTTCTTGGCATTGGCCCCCCCTGGATCATGGGAACGAACAGTGACATAAATATAACAAATCGGAGGTCCGCGCGGATTTCTCGGATCGGCGCTGGACCCCCCTCCCTGGCGCGCGGAGTGCGCCAGGGGCGGCGCCGGAGGCGCCACCAGGGTCCGGCGCTGCCCCTGGCGCGCTCCGCGCGCCAGGGAGGGGGGTCGCCCATTTCGTGTGGCGCCAGGCCGACGCGGCCGCCCAGGAGGCGGTGGGCGACGCGCTCACGACGGTCGCTGGCCAGGACGGCGGGCCAGCGAGGGTCCAGGGAGGAAGCATCTGGGTCTCCTCCTCCTCCTCCTCCTCCTCCTCCTCCTCCTCCTCCTCCTCCTCCTCCTCCTCCCCCTCCTCCCTCGATCCGCCCTCCCCGCCTGTCTAGGCCTCCCAGATGGGGTCCGAGTAGATGGGGTCGGAGGGATCGCGCTCCATCGGCGATGCATCGCCGATGCGGCCCGATGTGGATCCCGATGCTCTTCACGCGGACGTCGCCAATGCCTTGCCGACGTCCGTCGCCGATGCATCGGCGATGCGGCGCGATCCTTCGACCCTATCTATTCCGACCTCGTCTAGGAGGCCTCTAGTCAAGGGGGGAAAAGCCACCCAGACCCCGACAACTGGCGTTTACGAAACTCGAGGAAGGAAACACGACACAAACATAGACTGCTGGCGCTCCGCGCGGAATTCTTGGATCCTCGCGGAGCGTCAACAGTTTATGTTTGTGCCGTTCCTTCTTCTTCTGGGCCAGCGAGGGTCAGGGGAGGGCAGACCACCCAGACCCCGACGGGTTGGCGTTGACAAAGCAGCACTGGGCGTCCACGAGCCTGCCCTGCCCTGGTCGATTGCTTCCCAGGGGTGCGTTTGAGAAACGGCTCCGCTGGTCGGGGCGCTTCTTGGGGGGGTGGATTTGCTTCTGCCCTCTGGAGGGGGGCGGCGGCGGGGCGGTTGAGTCTAAGTCGGGTCTGTCCCTCTACAGGAGGAATGGTCAAAAATAGTCAATCAACGGTCTGGGGACGATTTTTTGTAAGTGCCACATTGTGTTGTTTCCCCACATGAAAGGTCGGGTTCGTGTTTTCTCTGGACAGCCCCCGCGGAGGAACCTCCCTCGCACCCTCCGCCTCACTCACGCATTCACCCCGTCATCGGTCATCATCACCATCGGTCATCATCATCACCACCACCATCATCATCACACTCAGTCGCTCACCATCGATCACCATCGCCGTCGGCCATGGATCATCATCATCAGCATCACCACCACCGCCATCATCTTCATACACGGTCGCACATCACTCTCTCTCATCACTCAGCATCATCAAGCGGGGGCCTCGCCTGTGAGTGAACTGTGAGGAAGGCTCAGGCGGGAGCCCCCTCCCTTTGGGGCCCGCAGCTCATGTTGGTAATCCGAGCGGGTCATCCTCGAACCTGTAACTGTCGTCATTTTTGGGCCTCTGAGGCCAAAATATGAAGGACGTCCCAGCGGGAGCCTCGTCTGTGAGTGAACTGTGAGGAAGACTCAGGCGGGAACCCCCTCCCTATGGGGCCCGTAGTTCATGCTGGTAATCCGAGCGGGTCATCTTCGAACCTGTAATTGTCGTCACTTTTGGGATCCTGAGGCCTGAATATGGGGGAAGTATCAGGCGGGAGCCTCGTCTGTGAGTGAACTGTGAGGAAGGCTCAGGCGGGAGCCCCCTCCCTTTGGGGCCCGCACCTCATGTTGGTAATCCGAGCGGGTCATCCTCGAACCTGTAACTGTCGTTATTTTTAGGCTCCTGAGGCCTGAGTATGGGGGCCGTATCAGGCGGGAGCCTCGTCTGTGAGTGAACTGTGAGGAAGTCTCAGGCGGGAGACCCCTCCCTATGGGGCCCGCAGTTCATGTTGGTAATCCGAGCGGGTCTTTCTCGAACCTGTAACTGTCGTCACTGAGGCCTGAATATGGGGGAAGTATCAGGCGGGAGCCTCGTCTGTGAGTGAACTGTGAGGAAGGCTCAGGCGGGAGCCCCCTCCCTTTGGGGCCCGCAGTTCATGTTGGTAATCCGAGCGGGTCATCCTCGAACCTGTAACTGTCGTCATTTTTGGGCTTCTGAGGCTTGAAGATGGAGGAAGCATCAGGTGGGAGCCTCGTCTGTGAGTGAACTGTGAGGAAGTCTCAGGCGGGAGCCCCTTCCCTATGGGGCCCGTAGTTCATGTTGGTAATCCGAGCGGGTCATCTTCGAACCTGTAACTGTCGTCACTTTTGGGATCCTGAGGCGTGAGTATGGGGGGAGGTATCAGGCGGGAGCCTCGTCTGTGAGTGAACTGTGAGGAAGTCTCAAGCGGGAGCCCCCTCCCTATGGGGCCCGCACCTCTCGTGCTTCCTCCGGGTCGTCCTCCGGCGCCCGCTTCCTTCGGGTCGTCCTCCGGCGCGTATCCGCCGGCTTTCACGTCGTGCGCTTCCTCTGGGCCGTGTTCCGCACGAGGAGGAGGAGGAGGAAGGAGGATGCAGGACGAGAAAGAGAAGCAGGACGAGGAGGAGGAGGAGGAGGAGGAGGAGGAGGAGGAGGAGGAGGAGGAGGAAGCAGAGGGCGAGAAGGACGACGAGGACATGGAGGAAGAGGAGTGCCCAAGGAGGCCCCAGGATGTCCCGGGAGGGCCAGAAGGCTCACGGAGGCCCCAAGAGGCCCCAAGAGGCCCCCAGAGTCCCCAGGAGGAGGCAGGAAGCCCAAGGAGGAGGCAGGAGGAGGGGGAGGCGGAGGAGGAGGGGGGGGAAGATGGAGGAGGAGGAGGCGGAGGAGGGAGAGGGAGAAGAGGAAGATGGAGAGGGGAGGAGGACGAGGAGGAGGAGGCGGAGGAGGAGGCGGAGGAGGAGGAGGAGGAGGAGGAGGAGGAAGTGGTGGTGGTGGAGGAGGCAAGAGGAGGAGGAGGCAGGGGTTGAGGCAGGAGGAAGAGGAGGCAGGAGGAAAAGGAGGAGGAGGAGGAGGCAGGAGTAGGTGGGAGAAGCGAGGGGGCAGGAGATACCCAGGCAAGCAAAACCGATTCTCATGTGGGGTCCTACCGTCGGAGTAATGGAATATGTTTTGTCTATGTTGTATGTTTCGTCCAACATCCGCCTGTAGGGAGACGTGCCCGACCTGACGGTTGTTGGGGGGTGGTGGGCGGAGCGAGGAGCGTCGAGGTCAAGACCGCGCTGGAGGCTTTCCCCGGGCATTCGCGTCGGGCCCCAGGGGCCGTCGGGCCTCGATCCCGGAGGGTACGTTGGCCAGGGGTCGGGGGCCCCCGAACGGGGCGGTGACCACACCGCGTGGTGAGTCGGTGGGGATTCGGGGTCACCGCACGGTTCTGGGAGCCGGGTCGTTCTCCGAGGACGTCTCGGGCGACAGGGGCCTCCGAGGTCCCGAGACGGTGCGTTGACGGACCGTGCGGTGAGGTCTCCTGGGGTTCCGAGGTCACCGCACGGTCTGTCACCGCACAGGTTCGGGACTCCGCAAGGGATCCAGGGGCCGATGTTGAGCGGAGTTCGCCGCGGAGGAAGCGGAAGGGGGTGGGAGAGGGGTGAGGGTGGGAGTGCGGAGGAGGTGGAGGAGCTTTCATTGCAGGTCCCTCTCGTAATTCTCCTCGCCCCCGTGTTCCTCTCCCTGTGGCTGCCCATCTTCGTTTGGGGTGGACGATTTCGGAGCATGGCTCGGCATTGGTGCTGTCGCGTATCTACTCCCTTTTGCTGCTGGTGTTGCCAAGGAGAAGCCCTGATACAAAACATGGATTTCAGGTTCAGGTGTTGCAGATGAACGCCTCGCTGTGTCTCTCAAACAGGCTGCATGCGGCAGTGTACCCCGACCCAAGGGTGAGCTAGGAAGACCTCGCCTGTCAACCACCCCAGGGACCAGCTCGCAAATGGAGTACGGTAGGTTCGCGTCGTGTCGACCGGCGGCGACCCCGCCAGCGGCGTTCAACGTTGAACGCCGCGGTTGACCCAGAATCGTTCGATGTGGAACGATTTGGGCGTTTCGGAAACGGCCGATCGTTCAAGGTTGCACGATCCCCGCGGTGTCAGAAACCAGCGCCGAGGTCGGCACGACACGAAGCTGACGTGCTTGGGTGCGAGGAGCCGGGGGTGGCCGTGGGAGGTACGGAGGGAGGGCAGGGACCCCGGGATACGCAAATAAATACACACAAATCAAAGGGTTCCCCATATTTTCTTATATTTTCTTGCTTTTTGTCTTCCCCCCCACTTCCCATATTTTCCCATATTTTCCCGGGAGTCGACGATTCATGGTGTCTGTGTGTCTGTTCCCCTCCTGAGGGAGAGCGGGCGAGTGAGCAACTGCTCTGTTCTCGGGGCCGCATCCTCTCGGCAGAGGGGTACAGGCCCCCTGCCGAGTCGGAGGACGGGGAGGGGGATGAGGAAGCGGAGCAGGATCATGGAATGATGATGGTAATGACTAGGACGACGAGGAAGAGGAGGAGGAGGGGGAACAGGAGGGAGATGATGCTGATGATGCTGATGATGGCGATGCGCTTGCACTCATGATGATGCTGCTGATGACGATGCTGTCGACGATGAGGACGATTGCGACGACCATCATGATGCTGATGCTGATGCTGATGATGCTGATGCTGATGTTGACGATGCTTGCGATGCTTATGCTTATGATGAGGATGCTGCCGCTGCTGATGATGATGATGGTACTGATACAGGTCATGATGATGATGACGTTGATGACGATTATGCTGATGACGTCATGATGATGACATATGGTGACGGTGGTAAAGAACATGATGATGCTGCTGATGATGATGGTGACGATGATGATGTTGTTGATGATGCAGAGGATGACGATGCTGCTGCTGATGATGGTGATTCTGATGGCGACGACGTGGAGGAGGATGAGGAAGAGGAGGAGAAGGAGGAGGAGGAGGTGGAGAAGGAGGAGGAGGAGGAGAAGGACCAGCTCCGCCTCCATCGTTACCTCCGCCACCACCACCTCCACCTCCCTCGCCTCCACCATTCCACCTTGCGACCTCCTTCTCTACCTCCACCCCCTGCCTGCTACGCCTCCGCCTCCACATCGCCCCCCCCCCCCCGCTTCCTGGTCGTCCCCTGTCTGGCATGAGGAGGCCTGGGTGGAGGCGGAGGCTGGTGCCAGCGAGAAGGCGGAGGCGCAGCCGGTCCCCTCGCCTGCAAGGACGACGGCCTCTTCTGGATAGAGTGGCACGACGTGGCGCGATACTTCAGTCGGCTTCTCGGGCGCGCACGCGCACGCGTTCGATCGCGGTCGCGCCTGGGTGCAGGGGGCGGAGGCACGGGGGAGGAGGAGCCGGAGGAGGAGGAGGAGCCGGAGGAGGAGGAGGAGGAGCATTCCGTAATCATTTTTGGTCAAAGTGGGTTATTTTTTTGTTCGTAAGGGCTTCGCCCCCATTCCGCCGGCCCCCCTCTCTTAGAATGGGACTTGCCATAGCTGTTTTGGGATGTCTGGACGCTGACGTGACGCAATGAGCAGTGTCGGGACTTCACGCGAGGGCCAATATTTATTTACTTATGGCTTCGGTGGCGCGCATATCGCGTAATTCAACATGCTTCATGGTTTCGGGGACGCGAATATTGTGTAATTTACAAGGGGGTGTGGCCTTGGGGGCGCAAAACTGGTGTAATTCACAAAAATGTTTATGGCCTCGAGGGCGCGAATATTGTTTAATTTGCGAGGGTTGTGGCCTGCCGCGAAAATCGTTTCATTTTCGAAGGTTCATTGGCTTCGGAGGCTCGAGCATTCCGTAATTTAGATGGGTTTATGGTTTCGGGGGCGCGAATCCCGCCTAGTTTAATAAACAACTTTGAATTTGGGGATGCGAATACTGTATGATTTGCAAGTGATTATGGCATCCGGGACGCGGATGCTTGTAATTTACGAAGGTTTATGGTCTCGGGGACGCGAGCATGGCGAAACTTATTAGGGATTCTGGCTTCGGGGACGCGAATATCAGGTATTTTCATGTGTCCCGCCCCCCCCCCAGGAAATCAGACCGCGATTCGGGGACGCTGGCCAGGACGCTTTTCGGCTCCCAACCTCGCGCGTTCAGCAACAATGAGCAATAAGGAAACAGAAAACAGGAATGTAACAGTTGAAACTGTAAGCTGCAAGTGGAACAGGGAGCTGCAATCCTCACCCTCGCAGCCTGGTGGCCCCGCAAGGAGGCCGGCGGATTTGTTTTTGGGTGGTGGCTTCTGTTTTTTTCAGTGCATCACATCTGGTACCGAGCCATTCAATGAACATGTCATAACACATGCTGTTTCTTCCCATCCCTCGTTTCTTCCTGCCGCCTATGACGCTGACTCAGCGGCTCTGGCAGCACACGCCACAGGCAAGCGTTTGTATTCGGTGGTGGCGGCGGCAACCAGGGGTGCAGCTGGTGGGGTTATTCCTGCCACCGGCTAAGACGAAGCCCATTCCACATACGCTATCGATAGTTTCGCAGTTGTTCTCGCCAAAGGTGAGACATTTGGAAAACACTGCATTCTCATTCGCCGTCCAGGGTGCCAAGGAGTGGTTTGACCATGATCGCATCCATGATACGAGGTCTGTCTAAGATCCGCAAATCTACGGCCCACTCGATGTATCACCGCCTCTTGCTCAAGCTGGACCGTCCCAGTTCGAACTCCAACATCGAGAACGTCTCATCAGAATGCAACTCGGAGGGGTGGTCAGCAAACGGCCAGCAACAGGCGGCGTTTGAGGAACAGTGCGGCGCTCAGCGCTCCGACGTCGACACCGATGAGCCGAGGCATGAGCGCAATGGCAACCAGTCGATTTGGGAGGTTGTTGTCGGGCGGCCACACGAGCTGCAGGGCACGGCCCTCGCTGCGGGCGGACGCCCTCTCCCAACGGGAGGCGGCCGATGCCGCGCAAGGCGGGCGCAAGACGTCCAAGGTCGTGGACATGAGTGGCAAGTGCGGCGAGTCGTTGCGCCCAGGAGCCCTTGCCCCGGCATGCTCAGACGCATCCCAGGAGCACCGTGGGGTTAGAGGTCTCGCCTCAACTGTTGACAGTGGCTTCGACCACGGAGATGCTGATCGAAATCTGGCGCCGATGCCAATGGCAATGCTGAGAAGTGTTTGAAGATCCTCGGGGCGCGGATGGTCGTGGGCGAGGCCGTCGACCAACCCGAGGTCGTCGCGGAAAAGGTCGGCCAGTCCATGCAGCAGCCAGCCTCGGATCAGTGACTTCCAGGAGCCAGTGCTCAGCATTGCAGGGGTCGGGTCGGGCAGAGCGGCGCTGCAGACGGCGGCGACGCTGGATTTCTCAGGCCCAGGAAGCGCTGCCAAGCCATCTTCCGTTTCATCCCAGGGGACCTGCCGCCATGCGATGATGGAAGCGTCAAGCATGTGCGTGGGGTTCCAGTTCGCCGCTTGATGTCCCAGCTAGCTTTGCAGCCCGCTGGATAGGCAAGCGGGCGTCGCTGTGAACGCCCCCCCCCCCCCTGCAGAATGAAAGCGGGCGTGAACAGCTCAAGTCGCGCTCTCTCTCTCTCTCTCTCTCTCTCTCTCTCTCTCTCTCTCTCTCTCTCTCTCTCTCTCTCCCTCTCTCTCTCTCTCCCTCCCTCCCTGCCTCTCTCTCTCTCTCTCTTTTTTTTTTTCTCTCTCTCTCTCTCATCTCTCTCTCTCTCTCTCGCTCTCTCTCTCTCTCTCTCTCTCTCTCTCGCTCTCTCTCTCCTCTTCTCTCTCTCTCTCTCTCTCTCGCTCTCTCTCTCTCTCTCGCTCCTCTCTCTCTCTCTCTCTCTCTCTCTCTCTCTCTCTCTCTCTCTCTCTCTTCTCCTCTCTCTCCTCTCTCTCTCTCCTCTCTCTCTCATCTCTCTCTCTCTCTCTCTCCCTCTCCTCTCTCTCCTCTCTCTTCTCCTCTCTCTCTCTCTTCTCCTCTCTCTCTCTCTCTCATCTCTCTCGTCTCTCTCTCTCTCTCTCTCTCTCTCTCTCTCCTCTCTCTCTCTCTCTCTCTCTCTCTCTCTCTCTCTCTCTCTCTCTCTCTCTCTCTCTCTCTCTCTCTCTCTCTCTCTCTCTCTCTCTCTCTCTCTCTCTCTCTCTCTCTCCCCCGTCGGCCGTCTTCGCCGTCTCTCCGCCGCCCGAGAGCATGGCGCGAGGCTGTTCCGAAGCGTTCGCGGGCGTGACCAACGTCGGCTGGCAGAAGGCGCGAGGCCCAGCGGCGCTGCCAGCTGCGCTCTGAGACGGCTCAGGCGGGGCGCGACAACGCGGGGCGCCTGGGCCGCAGACGGAGGCGTCGCGGTCAGGTCTCGCGAGTCCGGCAGACGCTCTTGCCGCCCGGCGTTGAACGCGCGCGCCAGGCGCAGCTTGATTCGGGGATTGGGAGGGGGGGTGGGGGGGGGGGGGCGAGAGCCGAGGTTCTGCGGCAGGTTCATGTTTGCAGCATATCGAGTCGCTGCAGCCATATGTTACTGCCGGGCTGAAGTGGGGCCTGACTAGGCATGGAGTTATCGATTCGGGGCTCGCGTGCCTGGATGGGTCCGCCAGTGTTGTGGGCCACTATCAATGGAGAGGAACCGTGGTGCCGCATAATTTTCAGATGTCGAACATGCCATTGCCATGTCCTCAACAGGAAACAACATGTCTTAACCATTTTTAAGTACATGTGCCACATATCCAATCCACATTAATGATCGGATTGTTAGGGTGTTCGTTTCCATGGCACCCACAACGCCAGTGTCCCAGAGTCGTTGAGCTTCGCGAGGGCAGCGCGTGGAGTGGTGGGAGTTGATGAAGGAGGGTGCGTGGCAGGCTTGCTTCGCGGCCCTTTGCTTTGCCCGCTGCAGATGGCATTGCGCGAGGAGGTCGTCGCCTTGACCGCCGCCCTGCGCTTCCTCGGGCCCTGCTCGACTCTGATAGTACTGGATTGCAATGTGGTGCTAATCGCTTGGCTGTAACTACCTGGTCAAGACTTATCTGGTGTATGCATTAGTGAACTGTGGGTAGATGTATTCAGAGTCGCAGGTATGTTGTTCGAATGATGCAACTCTGGTGAATGCGAAGTCGCGTTTAAGCCGCGTGGCAATGCTGCTTCAGGAGGTTCCGTGCTGGGCTTGGAGCGGCAAGCCGGAGATTGGCATATTGGTTCGTCTCGGATGAGGAGGCCCCGGAGAACCGCCCCCCCCCCCCCCCCCCCCAGTGCAATTCGAACAGCAACAAAGCCGAAATCCAGCTGACCCCACCCGTGCTATCGTACATCTTCGCGCGTGTTTTTTCTTCCTTTCGGCCCGCTTTTTGGAGTGCGCGGTCAGCGCGGCCATGGCGCGGCAGTCTCTCTCTCGCGCGTCTCTGTCAGGCTGGCGCAGCCAGCGATGTCGTTGTAGCGAACGGCGCCGAATCGTTGCGATTGCGTCCGCTTCGGGGCCGTTCGCGCGCGCTTCGCCATTTGCATGGTTCGTACTTTCTCCAGTGCGCTTCGCGCGCGCTGGCCCATCGAGCCAAGAGCGTCCATTCAAGTATGTTATCATGTGCTGCCATCATCGCTATCGTACTAGTGGTCGCCAACAGTTCCCTCTCCTTCTTCGCGTCGCTGGCGTGTCTCCCCAGGTCTGCGTGGGCCCAATCCCTCATCCCTCCCCCCTGCCCTTGTCCTCCTCATTTTTTCTTTTCTCAATCCTCATCGGCGGTCCCTCCTCCATTCCTCTTCCTGTCTTCCGTTGTCTTCCCTCTCGCCTCCCTCGTCCGTCCTTCTCCCGCCTTTCCCCTGCTCCTTCCTTCCTTCGTCGCCATCCTGCCTTGCCTTCGCGCCTTCCTCGCCGTTCCTCCCGCCCTTCGCTCCGGGCTGTCTTCCCCCCCCTTCTGCAGCCGTGCTCCGCCATCGCGCTCTTCTCCATCGCGCCCTTCCTTCCTGCGACGTCCTATGATGCCATGTTGGGGCGCTCGGGGAGAGGGCCCGTGGCTGGGGCGCGGCCGGGCGGCGGCTGGGCTGCGGCGGGGCTGCGGCGGGGCCGCGGCGGGGATTCGGCTGGGATTTTGCTGGCGGCGGCCTTCTTGGAGCCGTCGCAGTTTTTTGGGGGGGCGGCGGCGGCTGGGCGGCGGATGGGCCGCGGCTGGGCGGCGGCGGGGCCGCGGCGGGGATTTGGCTGGGAGATTGCCCGGCGGCGGCCGGTATTTGGCTGGAGCCGTTGCCGAGCGGGGGGCCCGCGGGCCTCCGAAGCGCGTCTGCAGCGAAGTATCGGCGCGCGACTTGCATTGGTCAGGGCACCTTCGGCTTGCTACTGCTCGTGCCCAGCTCCCTCGCATCGTGGCGGGCTGCGTATTCAGCGTACTTCGCATTAGATCTTCGCATATGTCTGACACTTGTGCTTGGGCTTCACAGTCGTGGGGGCATCGTCGTTTCGGCATATGCTGATGCACTGTGGCGGCATCGTCGTTTCGGCATATTTTGTCTGCTTCGCAGTCGCGTTGCGCAGTGTGGCGGTATTCTTGTTGCGACGCGCCCGTGTTATGCTTCGCAGTCGCGCTGCGCTGCGTGGCGGTGGTTACGGGATGACGCGCGTGCGCGTTTTCTGCTTTGCAATCGCACTGCGCTGCGTGGCTGCATTTTCGTTTCGACGCGCGGGCCTGTCTTTTTCATCGGGCGCGTGCGTGTCCGTGGCTATTCCATTGCAGTGGCAATGCCCTTGTTTGTCGCGCCCAGGGGGACGCGTTGCCCCCCCCTTTGTTCGACGCGGCTTTCACTCGCCTTGGTCGCCAGGTTGCGCGGCTCAGCGTAGCGCTGCAGCTTCCTTTCGCTAAGCCGAGCCACGGCAGGCGGCGAAGCGCCTCGCTCCTGCCCGCCTGTTTAGTTCGCGCGCGGCGCGGCAAGCTGCGCCCTGCGAGTGCAAATTATTAAGTTGGGCGCTGTCCAAAACCGCGCGGCCCTTCCCCCTTCCGCCACCCCCAACCCTTCTCCCTTTCCCTCCAACTGTCCCCCCCTCCAACCCCGCTCCTTGTCATTTGCTCCAGCTGCCTCGACGCTTCGCCGCCGCTGCGCCGCTGCCCTTCTCCGCGAGGCTGCTGTCTTTGGGGTCATCTCTCGCTTCGGGGGGGCTGTCCCGCGGCGGGGCTGCGGCCGTGCGAGCGCCGTGCCACACCCGGCTTTTCTCCTGGGGGGGGCCCTTCGACGCGCCCTCGCCTGGGCCTCTTCAGTTTCGGAGCGGAGCAACGGGCCAATCTTCAGTATGTTAAGGCACGGTTTGAGCTCGTAGCAGAGCATCTGCTACGGGCGGGAAAACTTATGTCATGGGCGTTTGTCAGTTCGGCTTCCCAAGCATTTTCCAGATGTGGCCAGGGTGAAACGGGTGGAACGCTTTCATCCGGCAGGTTTCGAATTAATACCTGATCGCCAGGGCCACCAGCTATTCTGAGCAGGCGGGAGTTGTTTTCTTGTGCGCACGGCGCGGGGGCAAGGGGGCGTCGAGGCTTTCAATTTTTTGTATTCCTTGTCGCGGTCTCCCCCGCCCCGCCTGCATTTCCCACCCGTCTCGTAGGAACCTGGTCAGTGGAGGGTGGGTGGCCCGGTGCTCACTTTGCGAGCTTTTGGGGTCCGAGCTTCCCAAATATTTCCGAGCGCGCTGTATCTAGGGGCGCGAAACATTTACGCTTCTCAGTCTTTGCGAATGCTGAAAAATGGCGCCCTCGAGCGGGAAGAGTTTGGTACGAGTTCCCCGTATCCAAGGTCCTCACTGCGCCGTCGCCGTTGCCGAGCCCCTGAATAGCCGCCGTGCGTAGCACGAGGAACCAATTTATTTATTTGTATGTGTATATATATACACACATACATATATACTATCTTCTCGTCTTGGACGGTTTTGTTGCTGCATTTTTCTTTTGTATAGGCGGTAACCGTGCTCTCTTCGCTGGGGGAGCAGGTGGGAGAAGGACGAGGAGGAGGTGGAAGAGGAGGAGGAGGCGGAGCAGGAGGGGGAGGAGGAGGAGGAATAGGAGAAGGAGGAGGAAGAGGAGGAGGAGGAGGGGGGAGGAGGGATGATGCTGATGGTGATGATGATGATGATGATGATGATGATGATGATGATGATGCTGATGATTGATGATGATGAATGATAATGATGATGATGATGAATGATGCTGATGATGATGAATGATGATGATGATGATGATGATGATATGAGGAGGAGGAGGGAGGAGGAGGAGGGAGGAGGAGGAAGAGGAGGAGAGGAGGAGGAAAACGAGGAGGAGGAAGGAGGAGGAGGAGGAGGAGGAGGAGGAGGAGGAGGAGGAGGAGGAGGAGGAGGAGGAGGAAAGGAGGAGGAGGAGGAGGAAAAAGAGAAAGAAGAAGCAGGAGGAGGAGAGGAGGAGAGGAACCGGCGGAGGAGAAAAAGAGGAGGAGGAAGAAAAGAAAAACAATAAGAACAGGAGGAGGAGCAGGAGGAGGAAGAGAAATAGGAGGAGGAGGAGGAGGAGGAGGAGAGGAGAAACGGCGGAGGAGGAACAAGAGAGGAGGAGGAGGAGGAAGAGGAGGGAGCAGGAGGAAAGGAGGAGGAGGGAGAGGAGGAGAGGAAGAGAAAGGGGAGGAGGAGGAAGAGACGAAGGGAGGAGGGAGAGGAGGAGGAGGAGGAGGAGGAAGGAGGGGCGGGCAGACGAGGAGTGCCAGGATTAACGCGGGGAGGGAGGAGGGAGGACTTTTGAGGAGGGGGTACCTTCAAACTGGTGGTTTCCAGCTGCGTGCAGCAAGCCCCGCCACCGTGCCAACACAGCGGCGCGACAAGAAAGACACCGGGGCGAATATGCGTTCCAGTTCAATGCCCAGTGTGAGCTGGCGCAGGTTTTGAGCGCACCCCTCTTTGCCCGCAGCGCCGCTTTCCTGTTCCATCCTAGATTACGATCCTCGCGTGCCCCTCTTCCTCCCTCTTGACAGCCTCTTATTGGGTTTTGTGTTGGCGGCGCGCATGGGGCCCAAGGGGGGTTCTCGGGTCCGTTTGTTTCTGTCGAGCGCGATGGTTTCACCGAACTATCCCGCTGATGCTTGGTTGCACCATGCCATATTGGGGACGTCAGGGCGGGTCTTTGTGCAATTTGTTGGGCCGTCCTGAAAGGTTCGCGGGAAGTCTTGGGCTTGTCAGGTGGCTCATATGGAGCAGTTCTGGGCCGCCGCCGTGGGACAGATGTTTCTGACTTTCTGGCCGCGGACGAAGAGGACGAGCGGCGTCGACGACGAAAACACGTGGCGCGCCTGCCGAGGCCACCTCTATTTGTGCTGGGCGCCTCACAGGCTGGCCTTGCACCGGCTGGAGGCGGGACAGGGACGGGTGGTGGACCCGGGGGAGGAGGAGGAGGAAGAGGAGCAGGAGGAGGAGGAGGAGGAGGAGGAGGAGGAGGAGGAGGAGGGAGGAGGAAGGAGAGAGGAGGAGGAGGAGGAGCAGGAGGAGAAGAGGAGGAGGAGGAGGAGGAGAGAGGAGGAGGGAGGAGGAGGAGGAGGAGGAGGAGGAGGAGGAGGAGGAGGAGGAGGGGGAGGAGGAGGAGGAGGAGGAGGAGGAGAGGGAGGAGGAGGAGGAGGACGAGGAGGAGGAGGAGGAATAGGAGGAGGAGCAGGAGACATGTGGTTTTGCTCCTTTTCCTCCGCCTGTTCCATGAAAAGGCCAAAGACGGGGAGGCGATCATCTCAACAATATTGGGTGGGGCAGGTGCTACCTTCCCATGCCCCAAAATGTCTCTGGTTTTCTATCTGTGTCTGCTTTGCTCACCTGTGGCCACACTGTGCAGACTCAGTGTTTCACTTCGGCTTGGTCGCCCTCACCCCGTTGACGGCTTTGTATATGCATCCTTGCCTTTGTTTCGGATGTTGTCAAACCTCCTATCCTGACACGTGGATTAGCGAATTGGCCGTTTTCGATTCGCGAGAGGGCGTTGCCACCGTCATTGTGCGGGTCCTGGTCCGTCGGTTTCGTTCTTGGGTAGTTTTCATAAGAGGTCGGTTTACTCAAGGGAGGTTTGTCCACCGCCGATTTGTTCGGCAGAAGGCAGCACCTTTGGACCAAGTGCTCAGGGGCGTCGCCTGTGCACGGCCCGTCGGAACCCGGTACCGTTTCCCCCGGTTAAGGAGGTTCCGGAGCCCGTGGAGGCCCCGTCAGGTTCCCCCGGGGAGCCTCGATCGTCGGGGGGCCGGCTTCAGTGGCCGGGAGGCCTGTAGGCCCATCCCATCGCGTGCATGAGTGGTTTTTCTGTTCTCTGTTTTTATTGGTGGGCTTGTTTTCCCCCACCACCACCATAAGTTGGAGGGCGAGGGGGTCCTCCTCCTCCTCCTCCTCCTCCTCCTCCTCCTCCTCCTCCTCCTCCTCTTCGTCCTCCTCCTCCTCGTCCTCCACCTCCTTCCCCCCGACCAACTTATGGTGGTGGTGGTGGAAAACAGGCCCATCATTTATGTTTCCAGTTTGTGCGAGGACGGCGACGATCGATGCTCGCCGCCCTTGGTGCGCCCTCAGGCCGACCCGAAGGAGGCAGGGGAAGTTCCCGCCAGAGTTCGGGAGGGCCTCTCCCCCTGGCCGCCAGTGGGCCCTCAGGGCTCGGCGGGCTGCTGTACTGTCTCGGCATGCAGGGCCGAGTCTGCGGGTCTGCGGGGATACGACTCCCTCCCAGGAGAGCCCATGCAAGCTGGCAAGATCGGACAGTGTGTCCTCCAGCGCTATCCCACGGTTCTCCCTCATCCTCCCGCATCTCGCTTCCCCTTGCGCGCGCGGGAGCGCTTCCGGTTGTGGCGGGGGAGGGAGAGGAGGCGGGTAGGAGGAGCGGGACGGAGGAGGAGGAGGAGATGGAGGTGGAGGAGGAGGAGGAGGAGGAGGAGGGGAAGGATGAGGCGGAGGAGGAGGACGACCAGTGCAAACCCTAGACTCATCAACGATGTTGGGATACACCCTTCTTCCAAGCTCCCTCTTCATAGGCCCCATAGAAGAATTCACTTCCACTGAGGGCCGTGCCCCGTTGGGAAACGACCATTTTTAGGACTTCAACGCCACGAGGCAACCTAACTGTTGCGTCTTGACGATCCTGAATCGTGCCAGAACACAATTTCCTGGGACTTCCACACCGCGAATCAACATAACTCTTGCGCCATGACAGTCCTGAATCATTCGAAAACATCATTTCTGGAAGGTTAGCCATGAGAGTCCGCGAAACTTTTGTACAGTTTTATCGCAATGTGCGCGGCGCAAAGGCGAGAGCCACATGTTGTAAATGAATCGCTCTCAATCCGTGAGACTCCTGCAAGTTGTTTATGACGATGTGCGCGGCGCTAGGGCGACAGCCACATTTGGAAAACGACCCGTCCTCAATCCGCTAAACTCATGCAGAGTTTTAGAACGAATGTGCGCGGCGCTAGGGCGAGAGCCACATTTTGCGACCGACTTGCCCTCAATCCGCGAAGCTCCTGCAATGTTTCAAGACAACGTGCGCGGCGCAACGGCGAGAGCCACATTTTGAAAACCAGCTGCCCTGAACCCGTGAAGCTTTTTGAAGTTTGTGCGACGAATGCGAATGTCCACGGCGCCTAGGCGAGAGCCGCATGTTGGAAATGGCCCGCACTCAATCCTTGAATCGATTGCAAATGTTCAAAACATATGTGCGCGGCGCCAAAGCAAGAGCCACAGTTTGGACGCGGCCCGCCCTCACGTGAAGCTGTTGCCAGCTCCCAAACTTCAGGCTCATGAATGGCAAGGAGGTTCCAGGCGGAACGCTCAACCCGCCCTTCCGACCGGCCTCGGGATGCGATATCGGGGGAGTTACAGTCAAACTCCACAGTAAAGACGCGCGCCTTTCCCTAGGGTACCCTTGGGTCCCTGCCTGCCTCTGCCTCTGCGTCCCTAGGGTTACTGCCGCCTGCCGCCGAAATATCCAAATTTCGTGTGATTCTATTCACAAGGCAAAGGAATGGAGGACGCAAGAGAAAGAGGGAGGGGGGTCGTTCTCCTTCTCGAAGGTTCCCGCAGGGATTCTCAGGGATGCTGCGGGGGAGTCGACATTGCTCCCGCGGGAACTCCAGGGCGCCCGGGGGGGGTCCAGAGGAGAGGGGGGAGTGCGGAGGGGGGGCGGGGGGAGGCGGGGGAGGGAGGAGGAGAAGGCTTCGGGAGCCTTGAGACGGGGGTCAATGCAAACGGGGGTCAGCCAGAGCGCCCGGTCTTGCAGGCTCCTGCAGGGCCAGGGCCGCATTGACCGGGGTTTGGGTGCAGGATCCGGCAGGATCTTGCAGGATCCTTCGCATTGACGCGGGTTTGGGTGCAGGCTCTTGCAAGATCTTGTGGGATTCTGCAAGGCCTGACTGACCCGGGTCTGGATTGACCCGGGCCAGAAGACCCCCGAAGACTTCGCCCCCTCCTTCCTCGCTTCCTCGTCCTCCCTCCCTCCTGCCGTGCCTTTCCCTTTTCTTGTTCAGCCCTCCTGGATCTCTTCCGCTCGCACGGGGGGGGGGAGGTGGAGGACCCCGACCATCTCGGAGGGCTATATGTAAGTCTTGCGTGCCCCTCTACAGGAGGAATATTCAAGTTTAGTGAGTAAATAGTTTTGGGGCTATTTTTAAACGGGTAACCTTAACCATGCATAGAAATTATTAACCACACGTAGAGAATTCAGACATCGAGCACTACACACATACACAATACTAAAACACGATACGAATCCACTACACTAAAACACTTCACCATCTGAGGCCAGCGACTTGTCCGCCGTCACCGCCATCTTTGGAGCGCCGCTCGCGGGACCGGCGGCTGCTGGCGCCGGACATGCCGGCGACGTCGTGGACTTGTGTTCCGACTCTTCCGACGTAGCTGCTAGCGCAGTCATCGTGCCTGCTTTGGGCCTTCGTCAGGGGCGGATGCGCCGCCCTGCCTACGCGCCCTTGCCCGTTGGCGATGGCGGAACCATGGAGTTCCAGGACCTGGAGCTGGAGCGCGAGGACGACGACCCCGAGGCTGTCCTGCGTGCAGCCGTCACTGCCTGGAAGGGCCGACACAAGTGCCATTGCCCCTCGCGGCTACTGCGCATCTGGAAATCAGGAACCACGTGGAAAGGGGACGCTCGGTGCAGCAAATGCGAGCTCTGCAAAGCGGGGCACGGCTTAGTCTACAAGTTCACGGGGCAATGGGCAGTGGATGGCGGCCGTGGGCGCGCAGGCTCCTACCAGTTAGACGTGGCCACGGCTGGCGCATGCGCGGGAGGCGCATCGCCTCTGCGTCGGAGCCGGCGGCCACTGCCGAGCGATAGTCAGTACACGCAGCTAACGCAGGAAACCAAGGACTCAGCCCTCGCCGTCGCCCACGATCTCGCCGCCGCTGGTAAGGCTTCGCGCGCCTTCGAGGTCCACAAGGAGAGGGTGGCTCGGGGGCAGCGGCCACTGGTCCCGGATGTCCTGCGCGGGGCCCTTCGCCGGCGGCCTGGTCGCGCCAGAGGCGGACAACGACGGCGGACGTGGTCGGCAGCGTTCCAGACGTACGTCGACAGACGCAGAGACATCGAAAGTGGACCCGTGTGCTTCCTGCGCTGTTCCTTGCAGCCGGTGATGACGTCCTTCCTTCTCCTGCTGCCGCCGTTCTTCGAGGCTCTAGTTCAGGCGAGGGCGTCCTCCTGGCCGTGTATATCGTAGCAAACGCAGATTCCACATTCCGCATTGCTCTTGATGCAGGTCCGTCACCAAGGCAGAACTTATCTTTTGGCCGGCGACTGGCTTCGGATCTAAGCAGATTGTGCGCTATTTAGTGCCTGTTCTATCCTGTCCAACTTGCGGCTTTCATTTCCTCGGGACAAAAAAAATCAGTGGCTTGGCTACGTCTTCGGGATCATCTACGTCGTCGTGCACCGGCTTTTTCGGGGGCGCTGGAGAAAGACACCGTGGCCAGTGGCCATCGCTGTTCATCCGCGCGAGGATGCGGATATTCACGGTCGCAGTTCCCCAGCGGTCCAGGCCAAAATGCGCCGTCGAGAGCTGCCTGCGATGCGCCAGATGGGGCTCGACCGTTTTCCAGGCTTGCAGGGCAAGTTCCTGCGAAGTAATCCCGCTGGCCGCGTCAGTCACGGGATTGGGCGCGTGCTCAAAAATCTTCGGCGCAACCGGGCCGGCCGTCGCAGGCTGGAACGAGGAAGGGGCCCGCGGCCCCCCGCCCCGCCCAGCGCTATTTGAAAACATTGTAATGATACGCGAAATTAAACATCATTGTCTTGAGAATGCACTAAGAAGCGCTGTGGCATGATTTTCTACCCGGCGCAAGGGGGCGGCGGTGCGCTTCCCTGTTCCTTGCAGGCGTGGAACGC